AAGACACTCCACAATGTTGCGGTAGCCATTTATTGTAGCCAGATGAGAAGGGTGGAGTTAAGAAATAGAGAAGAATTACTCTTATGAAGGGGAGAGTGTAGAGGATATAAAGCAGTGAAATATTAGTGTTAGCTAGAGAGAACAAATCAAAAGAACTTAGTGATATTGTATAAGGATTTATGCTCTTATTTATATAGTGCTTCTGGTGTTCTCTGCACCACATTTAAGTTTTATTTTGTAAATTGCAACAAGAAAAAAACATCACTGTAATTGCTATTAGCTTAAACATATTTAGAAAATTTATTCAAAATAGAATTCAAAACTTAGCTAATGGGTAATTTTACCAAGATAGACATGTAACTTTGTAGACACATGGTCCATCTTTTAGCTTGAAATAGTAGCCTGGTTTTAACTGGCAATAAAATGGTGGGCTTGGATAGTGTATTTTCCTACTCAAGAGTTTGTTTGCAGTATGAATTAGGAAGTAGGTTTTGTGCTTAATTACCCACTCAACTGATAGTGCACTGTCTATTTGATAACTTTGTTCATTAGTGCTAGCAAACATGCACCACGAGGAATAAAGAGTAAATAAACAAACACGAAGTAATTGAAATATATTTTGAAACCTTTTCTTTGTAAATGTGAAAGGAAATGCATATTTGCACTAATCTCTCCCTTTTCTCCCGAACTGGAAAATGCACATGCCTTCCCTCAAAGTTTAAGGCCCCCTTTGGCAAAAACTTTAGGGTTTTTTGAAAAAACTATTTAACTGCAATGTTTACCTTTAGCGTTTTGGAACGGTTAGGCTATCTAACATTAGTGTTTAGGATTAGCGTATTCAAAATTAAGAGTAATTCTCAAAATGGCACTCAATAATTATGTGTTTTCCCAAATTAATCCTCAAGATGATCTAATTACTGAGATGATACTCGCTAATTGAAAATAATGCCCAATTTTAGTTCCCATGACTAATTGTCGTCAAAACCACGTCAAAATGGCACCAAAACGGCTTAAAAATTAATACTAATTTTTCAAATTGATCATCTATAATTAGATGTTTTTTCAAGTTAGTCTATATTCGATGTAAAAATCATTTAATATGAATAAAAGAAGCGAGATTTTTTCCTTTTAATTGATTTACGGTGTTGATAGAAGCCGGAAGACTATTTTTTATGAGTTTTTATTTTGAAAATTGACTATTTTTTAAATATTTGATTAGAAGTGATCATTTTGGAAAATAACTAGAAGCTTTAATGTCGTTTTGATGGCGGTTAGTTGGGGGGCATTATTTTTAATTAACGAGTACCATCTCAATTATTAGTTTATCTAAGGAATTGATATTTAGTACCATTTTGAGAATTTACTCCAAAACTAATTAGTACTCCGTACTAATTAAAATATATCCAAAATGTTGGAGCTAATTGAAAACGTGGTTCTTAAACTAAATTTAAAAATTAAAATTACGAATGGAATCAAAATCTAGTTACTATGTCACCTTACCAAACATTTTTATTAACTTTGTAGTAAGATAGATGGTCTATATTTAACCCAGAAAATAGTACATAGATTCCAATTTCTAATAAAAGGTTTAAATAGATCTACAAGTACTTAGTTAGGTGAGTGTTTGCACTTTTAAATTGGGAATTACTACACATGCAATTAATTAGCCACTCAATCAATAGAACAATATTGAGTCAGTTTAATTAATTACATATATGGTCAAGAGTTGAACAAATAGTGCATTTTTTACTCCCTCTACCATTTTCTTATTTTCCAAATTTCTTTAGATGTTTATAATTATTGATTACTATGATTAGTTCTTCCATTTTGAGAAAAAGTTAGTTGGTTTGCATCAACTTTTTTCCGTACAAAATTTAACTTTATAATTTCACATCTTTTAAAACTCTATATAAAGGATGGTTTAGGGTGGTCCAAAAATGACTGTTAAATACTTAAATGTTAAGGGTGTGCCAAAAAATGACTCAGTTTGATTAAATTAAATGATTGTTGTTCTTAAACATGCATTTTTTATAAGTAAATGTAAAACGAAAGTGTAAAGTAAGCTAACAAGATAACAATTTTAATGCACTAGTATGCTTAGTATGGATTTTATGTTGGGCTTTATATACTCTTTCCCTTCCAAAATATCATCCTAGTTTGACCTTTGGTTTTACTTGTATGAAAAAAATGTTTAGTTATAATGTAAATTTACTCTAATTAGGTCCATTTTAATATTTTTTTGATATATCATATTTCTATACGTAGAAATATTTATCTATTTAAAATTATATTTCTCTGTCCCATAAATTCATTTTCTTTTATTTGGTGTCACATAAAGTCCTTTTTGTTATTAAAGAACTACTTTTAATCCTATTAATTTTTATCATACCTATCACATCATGCTCTTTTATTAATAATTTACGTATTATATCTTATTTATATTCATCACATCTAGAATATTTTTGAAAAGTTGAAACAATCTCCCTTACATTTCCTAAAAATCAAAACGAGAACATTTGACGAGGTAAGTATTTACCTTACATTTTCTAAAAATCAAAACGAGAACATTTGACGAGGTAAGTATTTAACATGTGGGTGGAATAACCACAAAAATCAAAGCAGGGCGATAGCTTTGTGATGAATTGAGTATAATCTTACCACGGCACGCACAAGTGGAGGCATTCATATTTTGAGGTTCTTATGACATGCTTTATTTAATTTTTTTCAATGAAAATAATGCACTATTATTATAAAAAAAAAGAAAACATTTTCTAAGTGAAATAATCTTTTCTTTTCGTTTCTTTTCGTTTCTTTTCATAAAAATGTTCTACATTTCTCCCGAAAATCCGAAATTTGGCTAAACAAGAAAACAAGGCTCATGTTTAGATAAAATTTTATTTTTACATAAGTAGTTTTTGGATGCCCCCTCTTCACCAGAAGATTGGCACCAATACCTCATCAGTTTTCAAAACATATTTCTTAAGTCGTGGTATCGAAACGATGCACCCAGACCCCCTTTGATCATTTTCCATTGAAGAGAAGGCATTGGTAACTACTCCGTATATTTTAAACCATAGATAGTATTCGTGCTCATTTCTTATTTTTTTTGTTTATTGTTTGGTTTTTTTCTTGTTTTAATTCTTTTTTATCTATTTGTTTCCTTTTTCTAGAAAAGTTGTTTTGAATTTATTTTCAATTTTTATAATATTTTAAAAATTCAAAATTATATGTGTTTTAAATAAAAATAAAAATAAATAACATATGCTCAATCTATCTCAAATTAAAAAATTTCAATTTTTGTTTTCTAGAATAAAAAATAAAAATATGGAAAAACGAAATGAAAAAAATTGAAACGTGCAAAAAATCTTATACAGAAAAAGCCTTTCGAATTGGAATGTCCAAAAAAGGTATTCATTTTTATTTTTTGTTTTGTTTTATTTTTTATTTCTCATTTTTTGAAGTTGTCAAAAATGTTTTTACTTTTTTATTCCAAAAAATAAAAAAACAAAAATTGTTAACTTGAGATGTACAGATGCAATATACTCGTATGTTAATTTTATTTTTCAACAAAATAAATTTTAATTTTAAGAACATTATAAAAAGATTTAAAAAGAAATTTAGAAAAACTTGATAAGTAAAATAAAAAATAAAGGAAAACAAAAAATAAATGAAAAAAATAAATGAACAGCAGTGCTCGCTATGTTTTGAAAAATATGCACCAAATCCTTCTTCTTCGCTAGAAAAATGATTAGAAAATAATCAGAGGGGATATGGGTGCAACGTTTCCAAATCACGGGGGTATTAATGCTATTTAGCCGGTTTTAATTTATCTTTAAAATGACGCATTTGGAAGTTAGATGTATCGTTTAAAGAGTTGGCCAAAATTATCTTTGGTATGGTTTAATTTTAGGTCAAAATGATTTTAGTCCAATCTTGAATCTACATATTTTTGAAACTTCAAATGCTCCAAGACTTTAGCACAATTGTTACCCTTCGGCAAAGTGCTAGGGAGGTTGGTTAGAGTTTATGGGGTGAGTTAGGGGTAGGACCGAGTCTTAAGCCCAACAATGCACAACAAGATTTTAGATTGGACCATGCCAGAAACATATCATGGGTGTCTCCACGGGTGACAATCATAAATAATTTTATATATATAGAGACGATAATCATATGTGTTCCCAGACAATTATTGTCTGTATATATATAAATTATCTGTAATTGTCTATCGTTGGGACACCCATGGTGGATTTCTAGCATTATTTGTCAGGATTATATGAGAAATGATATTTATACTTTCCTTTGACTAATGGCACTCCAAAATATAGTACATTATTCATGTGATTTAGTGAATAGTGCCATTTAAGGTGTCAATTTACAAAATTAGAGTGCAAGTATCATTTTTTGTTTTACATTATGACATCCAAACAACAACAATAATAACATCATTATTCCAGTGTCCCAAAGACTAACCTATTGCGGGATAAAGAGACTTGATGTACACAACCTGATCTCTATGTTTATTATATAGAACAATTATTTCTAGATGACCAATGATAATTATCGAAAGGGATTATGCTATGTGTACCCCAAGATTTATACCCCAATTTGTACCCCGCAGTTTTGCACTAACATTTTGTGTTGGTGTAAAACTATTTTTTGTTAACGCACCAACATTTGTGTCCGTGTAAATTTTTATTAACGCACCAACACTTGTGTCGGTGTAAACCATCAAAACGTTTGTGCAAAACTATGGTGTACAAATGGGGTATATTTTTTGGTGTAAGTGTAGCATGGTCCTTATCGAAAGTTACAATGACTAATTGTTACTTCACTCTTGAAAAAAGTAGAAACTTTCTAAAGAGTTATTTTTCTTTCTTCCATCATACTCAAAGCCAAAAAAATAGTGAACCTTTGCCTCCATCAAAATTCAAAAGATATTGTACAAAAATCACAAGATTCTTTAAAAGGAGAAAAAAGAACCATGGCTTTGTGAATCACCCAAACATTACCTCTCTTCATTTCTTACACAGAACATAAAAATAGGACAAAATGTCAAAAAAAAAATGCCACATTAAACAATACTGTAATTTACAACAGATGTGAGTTAACAGTACAACAATGGCAGTTTAACTTCAGCCACCACAAATAGTACTCTACAAATTAGTAATATTTCACCTATTCACAAAACATCATGATCATCTTTACCAGAGGTTGAAAACTTCTTCATCTTGGAAGAAGCAGGGAGAGCAAGACCAAGCTCTTTGCATTGCTCTTCGTTTGGCTTCGAGTTCAAAAACCCAGTCCCAACGTAATGCACAAACGCCAATGCATCTTCAAGATTCTCTTTCAGATTCATTGATGCTGAAAGACTGAGCTTTGAGCTCTTCTTTGCAAATTGTTTCTTGTTGTCATTGGTGTTGTTACTGGGTGACGACTTGTCCAGCTCCGCTGCTTTCAAAAACCGGTGCATTGCCGATTCCCACGACAGCTCGTGCCTTTGGTCATCGGTCAACGGGGCAGGCTGCTCGGTCAATGCCCGGAGAGTGGCGGTGACAAAGCAGGTGCCACTGTCGTACGTGCGGCAATTGGGAAAATGCTTGAAGAAGTCGTTCGACGGGTGGTTGGCGCATATTACTATTTTTCCCATTGCTAAGGCTTCGGCTGTAGTCGTGCAGACCACGTCTGTGGTGCTTGGATTCACAAGGACTTTGTACCTGAAATAAGCAAAAGGAAATATGCAGAGACTTGATCTATTGAGTTTGAGCCAACTTATATTTTCCCATAAAAAACCCATCTTTTCAATTTCCCCTCAAATTTTCCCCTGTGGGATTTTACTGGTTTCACTAGAAAAGCAGAAGCTACAAGGAGAAGAACAAGGCACTTACTCATGGAAGATAGGATCGGCATGATCCTGTCCGGGATGAACCCTGACTGTCAATTCCAGTTTCCTGGCAGCTTCCTGAATCTGGGCAGAATCCTCGCCGCTGCCATACAAATCAATTTCAAGCCCTTTAAGCTCCTTTTGATGGCTGCACAGAAGTTTGAGCAGCTCCTTGTAGCCTTTGCTCCACAACATCTTTCCAATGTAGTATGCGCCTTTGGTGAATACTTCCTTCCCCCTCTGCAATGGTTCTTCTTCCTTTGTCTTCTTCATACCAATGTCAAGAAACTTTGGGTTCACTCCGTGGACATTGCAGATGACTGATCTGGGAAGATCTTGCGTCGCACCGGACAACCTGATAACCTGCCACACAAATGAATCCCTTGATTTACTAAACAACTCTTCAAGAAATATTTTTTCTTCTAATGGTTTACAAGTATGTTTGTGGAGTTGTCCTTTTGACACCACTACTAGCTTATACTTAGTTTTGATGAAGAGTCATTGGGGGAAAAGCAGAGAGAAAACATACCCTGTGGCAATATATGTTGACAACCCAAACATTTATATATTTCACGATTAAAGCTTCCAAACCGTTGCGCTCCCTCTTAACATACTCTGGATAATTGGTGTGAACAATTCCTATCACCAGCCTAAATTTCTCCTTCCATCTCCTTCCGTGATGATACCAGGTAAGGTGCTCAGGTTCCTCAAGGACAGCAATTTCTGCTTCCTCATCCGGGATGACAACCGTGATATCCCCCAAAGCAAGAATGCTCCTTTTCTCTAGGGAGAACTAAAAAAACATGTGTTACTGCAAGCAAATGCATCTAGGGTTCAACAAAAGCAACCTCTTTGTTTTTATACTGGGTACTCTCTCCGTTTCAAAAAAGGTTCCACCTTCATTTTTTGCGCATCCCACAACCCACTTCAATCCCACCTAAAGTGTCAAAAATACCCCCAAAAACACTTCTTTAGTGTGGATAGAAGTTGTTTTGGAGGTATTATAGATATTTTATTTGAGATAGAATTGTTTTGTGGGATGCGCAAAAAATGAAGGTGCGGCTTGTTTTCAAAACGGAGGGAGTATTAAAATATACTATAAATATATATCCCTCTAAGGAAACTTTACCCAAACTACATTCATAGGAAGAAAAATCTTAAATTTACCTTTCCTGGATAAAACCGCACACTGAGGCTTGATTTGAAGCCAGACCTCTCTTCAACCCATCGAAGAACGTAGTGTTCTTGCTCAGATGGTGTGCTAAAGGTGATATTTTCAGGGAACAAGTGTTTTTGATCTTTAACAGACACCCAAGGGACAACCAAAGTGACATTCCTCTCCCCATCTTTAGCAAGGTAGGCGGCACGAAACAAAGGGTTTACTGCAGTCCCGGTCAGCCATGGAATGCTTGCGGTAGTGAATATTGCAATGTGCTGTTTCTTTTCCATTTACCATCACAAGTCAAAATCCTTGAGGCTTCTTCCTTTCCTGCGTTGCCACTTGATCCACGTAAACACAAACTTTCTTCAGCCAAAAAAGAATCTTCATATATGACATATTGCAAGCTTCACCTACTTCTTTAAGCAACGAATAAAAAAAGAGGCAGAACAACAGCAATAAACTTAACCAAAATTAAATCTTGAAGGTTAGAGGGGGCCTTATCATATACTGATTTCATTTTCAAGATCAAATCTTTACAAATGGGCCGCTAAATGTGTTATGAGATCATAAATTTATAATGATTGGGGTGAATCAATTATCACCCAAAGAACATATCTGCAAGTAAACCCTGAAAAACTTTCACCAACCTTAACATTATTTCAAGAATAAAAGCATCAAAATTGAATTGAACCCAACAGGAAAAGACTCGAATTTCACGAGCAAAGACAAATTTTTATAAAAAATACTTCCATCCAGTTTTGCAAATTCCCAAAGTTCGTTAATAAGATCTACGGGAATAAAGCATGTAATCATATTGTTTCTAAAAGAAAAAATCAGAGCATAGATTATATCGAAACAGGAAGAGATGAGAAGGAAATGTGCATAAAACAAATTCAATCTTTCTGCGTGCAATTGGAACTTACAAGAATTCTGCGGACAAACAAAGGAATAGTGGTTGAAACTGGAAACCTTTCTGGCAGGAACAAATGGGGAGGAAATAGGAAATACTCTTAAGAAATTATAAAAATTATATATTAATAAAAATTATACTCTCTCGGTCCCTGAGTAATTTTTGTATATTAAGAAATTATAAAAATTATATATTAATAATCTATATGTTAAGACGAAACAAACACGATCACACATGATTATTTTTAGGCTTACACATTGAGAGAATTTGATGAGCCAAAGTGCTTAGATGAACAATTCCAAAAGTCAAAAGTGGACAAACACTTAGGGACAGACCAAGTAATTCCAAAAGTCAAAAGTGGACAAACACTTAGGGACAGACCAAGTAATAGAGTAAAAAATGAACAATAATTAAAATACTCCGTACATTATTTTACTCTATGCTCTGGAAGAGATAATCCATTGGGCTTGGTGGTCAATGGGCTTTGAGAAATGCATTCTTTCATTGTTTTAATAGGCCCAACTTAAACTTAAAATACATTGAATGCTTAAAAGACAAATAATGTCAGGGTCCATTTGGTATACGAAATTGGTAGAATTGAAATTGAATTGGAATTGGGATTCCATGTGATTCAATTCCATAGAATTGAATTCACCTATTTCAATTCATTTTTCGCACTATGAATTCCAAATCCATATAATATTCATGCTACCAAACACCAGAATTGAAATTGAGGTTCTCAATTCCAATTTCATAATTTGAATTCCTTGTACCAAACGGGACCTCATGTAAGTTTAAAAAGTTTTTAAAAAATATTATGAAAGAATGAAGTTATGGAAGAAATGAAAATAGAGTACTCCAAATTACAATCTATATTAGGGTTTTAATACTGCACAATCCATTTTGTAGTTAGACTGTTAGAGATAAAGTATTGGTAGATGATGTATAACTCCAAACGTGAATATATGTTGTACTATTGGATCTGCTCTTAAAATTAGCATGTGAACTATAGATTTTCACACTGTATCACTTTAAGTTTGAATCTTTTTTTTACAAAATCTAATATATATAATTAATCATTTCTTGTATCGGGGTGTATTTATGAAATTCTATTCATTTTAATACAAGTCCCCGAAATTTAATTTTTTTTTGTAAATGTGAAAATAACTTAAAAATTTAGTTGTATGAAGTTTTGACTTTTTAAAGTCCATGAAAATTTATGTGTACTCAATTAAAATTTTAAAAAGTCATTATGAATTCTACAAGAGTCTACAAATATTCAATCGAGTAGGTATTCTCGGTGACTTTTTATTTTTTTAATGAAATTCACAAATAGTATATTTGTAAAAATTTGTGATGATTTTGTTTGTGAACGAGCATTTCCCGTATGAATATATTGTGAATTTGTGACCAAAAAACATAGACAAAACCATGATTATTCGTCTGATTTGAACTTTTTATTTTTACTATGAGGACTTAATTACATCATTGATCATTCAAGTTGTTACATAATGCATTGTATATGTTTTTCAACATTGAAAATTTCATAAGCGGGCATTCGAGTGAAGTTAGTGTCGCATGGTTGGTCATTCTGTTTACTTTACAATTAGTCCATGTATTTTTTTGTTTCAATTATAAATAAATGTAAGGATCTCAATCTTTTTGATACAATTAAATTATATTTAGTATAGGTCCATTTATTTAATAATAATAATAAGTTATTCGATCATGTCGTTATTAGCCAATTTTAATAATAATAATAATAATAATAATAATAATAATAATACTTCGTAATAATTTATTCTTGCTTTTATTAGTCCAATTTTTTTTAGAAAACTCATCACTCTGTCTTAAAGTTTATCAAAATTTGATTTTTACATTTTAACTAAAGTTAAATTTTGGTTATAATTTCAATTCAAATGGATTGTGTGAAATATGATTCGAATGTATGAATAAGAGCGGTGTTTTGACAGTCAAATTATATGGTACAACGGGATGTACCTTCCTCTTAGTACATCAAGACAAATTGTAATTAAATAAATATTTTAGAATGAACGTTATATTGTTTAAGAATGAACTCCACATTATTTCAAAATTAACATGTTTTAGAATGAATATTACGTTATTTTAGTACAACAGGATGTACCTTCATCAAACCCTTCTTGTTTAACATTTAAGAGTGTTTGATAACTTATGTTTTTTTGTACTAGTGATTTGATAGAAATATTCTTGTCACAACTTATTTTGTACAACTTTTGATATAATTTTTAAATAAAATTATTTTAAAAAGATAGGGTTTTGCACGTAAAAACAAATACAAGAGTTTTGATGAATAGTGGGAGCATATAATTAGGACTAAAACATGTTTAACATACCAAAATAGTGTATAGGTAGCTCTTAATGTTTTTATACTTAAAAAAATAAAGGAAAAGACCAAAGTATGAGTAAAACATTGAAAATATATATTTAATTATTATGTAAATATAGTCGATACTTTTATTTAAGTACTTTCCTGTTAAAAACTTAAATTGAACAAATAAATTGGTTAATAATATTGTCCAAAGAAATAAAAATGCGTGATCACCACATCCATATCAATTACCCATATATAAAAGCATCTTTAATTTCCATATACATTGCTTCATAATTACCATTTATGCCCTTCACTAGAAAACCATCCCAGTTTGTGAACATAAAATGCCCAAGTTTTCTTTTTTTAAAAAAAAATTAAATAAAAGAACAAATTAAATAATGGTAGGTTTCCAAACAGGAAAGGTGACAGCTAACACTTCAGAATCTATTTCCTACTGTAATTCATACTGCAAATCATATGGTGAAGTGATAAAATACAACATCCATGCCTACCATTCTATTGGCAATGTGAAATTATTTAGCTACTTTTTCTTGGTAAAAGACAGACCATCTATATATCTAAAAAGTTACATGACTAATTTGGGAGAATTACCCAATAACTTAGTTTTGAATTCTATTTTTATTTAATTTGTAATAATAATGACCAAGTGTGAGTTGATATCATAATGTTGGAGTTCCCACATCGGAAAATAAAGACGAGTATCACTAGCATATATAGAACGGTGAAGCCCTACTTATCAGCTTAAGCTTTTGGGTTAGAATTGTGGATCCCAACTTTATATGCAAGTGGTTAATTTTACCCGACACTCTATCGATTGTTATCGGCCCGCCGGAATTTTAACACATAAGAAGTGATGTGTGTGGAGTTGTGTTAATATTTGATTGATTTGTTGAAAAGTAATAAAATAAAACAATTTCTTTTATATATTTGTATGGAATATGCATGCATGTGACCGGCCAGTTGAGGACCACTCCTAGGGTGAAGCACCTGGATTAATTTTTCTCTATGTTTTACTCAATTTTAGTCTTTTCTCCAAAAGATTAATTTTAATTTATATGTTTCGTATATTTGAGAATTTTTATTTTGTTATCACTTGTTTGTAAATTTGTAAAAAAAATGCAAATCTTATCCTCTATATTGATAGGATAAACATATTTATATAAATATTAAATATTAAAGTATAAATATATTCGTATAAAAATTATACTCCAATGCTTCGGAAAAGATCACCTAGTCTAGTGCCGGTCTAGATTTTTANTTTTTCTCTATGTTTTACTCAATTTTAGTCTTTTCTCCAAAAGATTAATTTTAATTTATATGTTTCGTATATTTGAGAATTTTTATTTTGTTATCACTTGTTTGTAAATTTGTAAAAAAAATGCAAATCTTATCCTCTATATTGATAGGATAAACATATTTATATAAATATTAAATATTAAAGTATAAATATATTCGTATAAAAATTATACTCCAATGCTTCGGAAAAGATCACCTAGTCTAGTGCCGGTCTAGATTTTTACAAAAAACAAAGGACCAAATTAGACTCTTGGTTCAAATTTGGGCTAATCTAAAAAACCACTATGGTCTAATCTTTTCATGTCTAAATATCTATACATCTTTTCAATCGTAGTATAATTTTATCTCCTTCACATTAACCACTACGGGCACTACAATAAAATCACTTTATAAAAAATATTTTACAATGAAATTCATATTTCTCTTTTCTTGTTTCTCTCAAAATCCATTATGTTGTGCGTGCTCTTTTCTTTATCCGTATCAATTTCTTATGCATTTGTGCAGTTATAACAAGCATTATGTGATTCAAATCATTTTTCTTTTCTCCGCATTAATTTCAACTGACCGATTTTTACTTTCTTAATCTGTGTGTTGAGTCAAAACAGGCACAACATAGAAACACTACAATACCTTATATTAGCACCATTTTCAGGAGCTACTAAAGAAAGTAGACTGTTACTACTTTGATTAAATAGATGATGAATGGAAGGAAGAAAAGATAGTGTGATTTTACCGGTGTCTGGAACCATCTTCAGCTTCCAGCGTCAGTTTAACACCAGCTTTAAACCCTGTTGGTGAGAATCCAAGTGTCTGGATTAGCTTAGTAATATCCATTGATATATCTGCTGGGGACTTCACACCACGGTCGACCTGTAAAATTCATGTTTCAAAAGAATTTCAATGAAAAAACTGAAATTTTACACAAAGTGAATGTAACATTACACGTGTCAGGACGTAGTTGAAACTCTGTGAGCAAATTACTTACCGATGACGAAGAAACTGGCCTGATTGGCACGTTATAACCTCTGATTTCTGCAACAGCTTCCGCCATCTGAACCCGAGAGAGCCTATCTGGCCCACCAACATTCACAAGCAATTGCATTGGCTTACCCTCTAGAAACATCAATGAACATCACATGTGTTAAAACACAAGATAACCATGAGCAATCCTATTGTTTTTGGCATCTTAGATCTAATGCCCAGATTTAATTCACTCTAAAGCTTAAAATCAATTATAACTTCAAGAAAGTAATGGCTTGAAAACTAATTAAAAGGAGATATCGCTCATTTTATGTGTTTCAGGGTTATAATTGGAGCTTATTTGCATTGAGGGTAAATTGCACATTCTGGGATGTTAGGACTTATTGACCCTTTATAGCCTGTTTGTCGAAAACGAAAACAAAATTTGTATCGAACCAAGTGGAAACTGTTCATGATATATGTCGAGTAGCATATCAAACCTGAGATCCATTTGCTAGTCAATGTTTGTATGATGGTTACAAGATCCCCAACGTACACAGGACAACGAAACTCATCATGGAAAAACTCTGTCTTGTCTCCATTGGCAAGGACACTATCAATCCACTGCATCATTTTGAATGGCATTTATCAGCTATCATAAATTAAAACTAAAAAGCCTAGTAATCAAGCACTTTGATCAGCCCTATTGGACATGGCGTGTTTGGTAGCACCCGTTTCAGCCAGACAAGTCAAAAGCTGCTGCTCATTCTTATTTTACTGATAAGGATAAACCAGATAAGGCTACCAAACAGAACCTTAGCAGCCAAGCCTAATACTGCTTATTAGGATTGCAAAAATGGTGGAGATGGAAAAGGAAAGCTACTATACTTGAACTGGAAGTGACTTTGGAAGAGGAGAGATAGTCTGAGGTCCAAAAATGATACTGCTTCTTAGGATTGCAAAGTTTGAGCAATTTGAAGAAATGAAGTTCTCTGCAGCCACCTTTGACTTTCCATAAACATTCACAGGGACGGTCTCATCTCCTTCCTTGTAAAAGGATTTTGTCCCCTCATAGACTGGAAAAAATAAAAGATGAATAAGTTTTGGATGGAAATGTAAACCAGGAATTGATGTTTAAATAAATAGAATTTGCATTCATTCTTTGCCTACCCTGATCTGTCGATAAATGGATCAGAAAAGTATTGTTCTCATCAAAGCTGGACAGCCACTTGACAAGAGGATAGGGCACATTGATAGCCATGGCAGCTTTAGGGTCAGCTTCACAGGCACGGGGGACAGAAAGAGCAGCACAGTTAATCACAACATCAGGCTGCCAAACTTCAAACTAGCCTTGTTATTGTCTAGTAACTGTATAATACATCTAAATGTATCATGATAATTGTGCATTCAGCTTCTGCAAATGAGCATTCCTCGTATTCAAATGAGCATTCTTCACAAGGAAACTGTATAGAGGTGTGATCAAATAAAAGCAAGTGGAAATGATATACTTTCCTGCCTAACATCAACTCTTTGTTAAAACGGAGTATATGCAAAAATGCAAAATCGAAATTGCAGATTCATTTATAATGTAAAACATTTGCAGAAATGAAGTACTTCATTTCGGGTCCAACACGAATAAAAAACATGGATCTTGCAGATCAGAGAGTGTTGAGCCTGAAGAATTGAGAAAAAAAATCAAAACATTGAATCCACTGCATAAGACAATTCCTGTGATACTCTTTCATTTCATAAAAGTTCTTTATTACTGGTACGACGCACGTAGCATTTCCTAAGAGGAAAAATACATCAAATTATGTCTTATAAAATCACTAATTGAAATTCTTTTA